AATTACTGTAGCGTTTGAAGATCTTTGTCATAAAAATTGTATAGTCTCTTTCTGTTATCGAGATTTCTCAAGGCGCAAGACATTACTTTTGCCTAGAAAAATAAACCGTGAATTAATTTTCCATCTTTTTGCAATAATAAAAAAAATATTTACTTTGTGATCGTTGGGTTGACGAAACACCACCACCACAAATTTGAGTACTGGGACCAACTACCCATGACAAGAGCGTTGGAGCCGGTGGTAGGCAGTTTTTTTATAATGCTTAAATTCTCAATTGGTTTTTACCTGAACTTAAGTAAAATAATCAGTCATTGGGTAGGTAAAAGGTCATTTGATGCAAATTGATATACTATATAAAGAACTATTTATTTGGAATTTAGTCAGTATAAGCACGTCTGAGAAGACTATTATATTGTGAAACAGGTGTTGCAATTTTGTGAACTGTTCAGTGAAAATCTTACAATAAAGTGTTACTTGAATACGGTATGGATTTTTATCAGGTATGGGCTCTTTCTGAATAGCTTCAGAAAGAGCAAATAATCCAGGGTAGAATTCTGAATATCATCATGTTTATATATTATAAACCTTCGAATAAGGACAAATAAACTACTGATAAATTCATAATCAAGGTGTTCGCAAAAAACGAACTCTTCATTTTTGTAACCGAATTTTTTATACATTTCAAACTAGTTGTTGAGACATATTTCTACCAAACGGACAAAACGACAACAAAACAGCAACTGTGTCGATTTCGACAAAAACAAAACTTGAGTTTTCAAAACAAGAAACACTTTGTGTTGCGAGCGACTGTTTTTGTCAACAACGAAATAACCCGTTAACAGACAAAAAGATCAAAAGGTTTCCTTGTTTTGTCTATGTTTTTGTAAACCTAATTCGCTTTGTGAAATCGGTCGGCGACACAACACGCAACTATTCAGTTCACTATTTTGTTTTAATGTGTGTCTTAATGTGACATCATTACATCATTGTTAATCTGTGGTGGGTATGAATTTCTATCATCCTAGGTCTCCATTAATTCCTGTGTCAGAATTTATAAAATCTGCCACAATTTTATCCATTCCGTAATCTATTCGTCTTCTCAACAATGTTCTAATCTAGTATGCTGTTCTTCGCTTTCGCTCAGAAAATTCGAATTTAAAAAAAAACGCAGGTCATTATGAAAACATCGTCTAGAGACCATGACGAGAAATGGAAACGACAGAAAACATGTCACAACAAAAAACGCGACTCAGACTAGTTTTTGTNTGTGTCAAGGAGGTTTGAAAATAGAGCAAATCAAAGAAACAACTGTTAATCACATTTTAGAATTCTGAAGACGAAGTCTTTCAAAATGTTAAGATGCGTATTTTCACAATTTCTTAGCTATTTTATTAACAGGAAAATTGTTAAATATGACATACCTATTTTACTTGAATAGAACTTTTTTCTGAAAAATACACAGTGATTCATCGGAGTGAAATAAAAAGTTTGTCCTTTATACACCAGTATAAAGTGCTCCATTATATTTTTTATTTATTCAGATTGTGTAAGGTGAAAATCCTTAAAAATAGTCAATGAAACATAGGATTTCCTCCATAAAAATGACTTTCGTTCAATATTTCATACCTTTTTTAACTTAAGTAACCTAGTTGTAACAATCAATAATAAAAGGTAACAAATACATAAACTATTTTGACAAAATATAATTGTTTTTGGGTGATTCTACATATGAATATTCGGTATATTTTAATAATGTGAAAATCATCGGTTGAAACATGCATGAAGTTTCAAAATGTATACAAAAAAAGGGGTGTGGAGACACATAAAGTTCATTATACATGATTTGTTTCGAACACTCCATCAACTATAGGTACTGCCCTATTCAATTACAGACATTCCCAAAATGCTAATGGATATTCTGAAAGGATATTGAAAAGAACATAGTAGACAAAGAAACTTCCACGCCTTCGATTTCAACAGTCTAGAAGGAACCTAATGCATACGTGCGTGTCTAGTGCAGACAGTTCCCACCTTGACAATTGTTTTTCCATGAATCATCGACACAATCACAATGTGACTGAAAGTCAGCATTGAAAATAATCAGTTGACTATATTGATATACAGTGTGTATCAAAATGAGTTAGAGCTGTGACGTGGAGTGAAATAATAATCAAGATTCATACTATCGAAATTAACATGTGGTATATATGTTACGGGTAATGCTAGAAGATGGGTCTGAATGATGAGTAAAATAAATTTCAATTTGGGCTTTATTCACATTCACCTTGGTCTAATCAACTTTGGCTGGGTAATGTTAGGTGTTGCGGCATTTTCGAGCTCGTGGCACAAAGAGCGGAGACATTGCCTAGTTTAGATCCCGGCGCACTTACATAGTTTAGGTTAGGTTAGGTTTAGCAACTGTTTTCATTTAACTTTCAAATATTCTCAAGGTAAGGTTAGGTTCGTTTAGTCAGGTTATATTTGAATTGAGCTATTAAACATTATTATTTACATTATAGATTCATTAACACAAGTGCACCAGAACCTAAACTTAGGTAATCCCCGCTTTCAGGAGGTCAAGGTTATGAAAGGTGCGATAGCAAAACGAAATGTGCTACACGGAAGTGTTTATGCAAAGCTGCAGAAAAATTTTGCAATTAAAAATGCCACAGTTGCTACAAATGGAATAGGTATATTATAGTATTAGGTGTTGGTCCACGATCGTTATTCATAAATTTTTTATGTTACTTATTTCTACACTCTCGTAGGCATCTAGATGGACGTTGTTGTTAACTTGTCTAACTAATCTTAATTAACTAAAGTCTATGGAATGGTTTTGTTGCAAAATATGATGGACGACTGCTGATTTTCCCGGTCTTTCATATTTTAGGTGTGCTAAGTCTTCCTTATATCTTATTTTAATAGATCTTTTTGTCTGTCAATAATATTTTGCATCGCAGTCCTTATATTTAATTTCGTAAATTGCAGACTTTTCCGAATTCTCGACTTGGTATTTTGGATTTTTTAAAAGGCTCAGTAGTGTAAAACTTTTTTTAAATACCAGCTTCATACCTAGTTCCTTAAAAATCTTTCCAAATTTCTTCGTGTATTGGTGGTATGGAACTGAGATAAATTTATCTTGGTTCTCGTCGTTTCTAAAAGTCAAGATTTCGTTCATTCTTAACCTCAACTTTTTCTTCCTTATAAAATCAACTACAATACCCCTCGAGAATCAGTTACTGACTGCTTATTTCCTGTATTGTTCGTTTTTCTTTTGTGAACATCTCATGTGTGAATAGAATAGTCAGAAGACGATGCACTAGAAAATTGAGCCCCGCACATTTGTTCTGTCGAAACACGTGTCGAGTTATTAAAATAACGGTTCAGTCTCTTTTGCCAAATCACCACAGACGAATATAGCATTCAACAACACGTGTAAATAGTAAAATTGTTTTATCAAAATGGGTGTTCTGTTCGGCCAACGTACCGTGCGCTTCACTTATGTCACGGTCGCCATAATCGTCCTACGCAATGTGGTGGATAAATCTGAGTCCAATGTTTCAGTAAACGATCGACCAACACCCGTACGTTGACGAAAAGCAAGATCCGCTGTGTGTGAGTCTGCAGGATAACCCGAGGCAGACCACAACTTGGCGAATTTTGCGTCGTAGCTTGGGGACTGCACCTGTACAAAATACAACTGACCCAGGAACTGAAGGCAAATGACTATAGACAACGACGTGTGCTCGCTGAATGGGATCTGGAGCAGTTGGCAACTAATCCTAGTTTTCATCGAAAAATCATCTTCAGCGATGAGGTCCATTTCTGGATGAATGGGTACATGAACAAACAGAATTGTTGAATTTGGGACGAAACCAATCTACATGAGATCCAATGCATCCCGAAAAAGTCATTGTTTGGTGTGGATTTTGGGCTGCCGGCATTGACTAGGCCATCACTGTCAACGGCGAGCACTATAGGTCGATTATTACACATTTCTTCTGGTCTAAATTGGATGATCTGGACCCCAACGATATGTGGTTTCAACAGGACGTCGCTACATGCCACACAGCTCATTCCACATTGGATATTCTGCACGAGCGATTTGAGGGCATGATCATATCACGTGGAGGTGAACTGGCCACTGAGATCGTGCGATTTAACCCCGTTTGACTTTTCCTTGTGGGGTTTTCTTAAGTCGCAGGTGTATACGAATAAGCCACAAACCACACCAGTCCTCAACATAACCCATGCCATCGGTCGAATGCGCCAGACATTTGAAAGATGTTAAATTTCCACACATAAATAGGTCTTTTAAACGAATACAAAATTTTGATGATATCTCATACACATTTTGTTTTATTCAAGTTGAACTACCCCTTATTTCGTATTCTTCGTTTATTTCTTTTTTTATGATTTTTGTACTATTTTCATGTTTAACTAACTTATCCAGATATTGTTTTCCTAGTGTTCTTATTCATTTATCTTCTTTTAGATTCAAAATCTGATAACACTTTCCATTCGGATACATTATTATTTCTAAAAATGGCCAGTTTTTATAATTTTAAACTCGTTGTTGACATTGAAAAAATCAATTGAAAATATGTTATCTTGGAAAGTATCTACTGAAAAAGATAATAATGACATGCATATATTTTCAACTTGACATAGAGGAACAAACTTGTCAGATATTTTACGAGTTTTTACCAATCATCGTTCATCTTACATTGATTCAACAGTAAAAAAAACATTTGATCATAGTATTCTTTTGACTGCAACACGTATTTATCTGTACTATATTCAATTAATAATGACATACCTTCTTTATGTCAGTTACCATACTTGGAAAACTAATAAAACATTTGTGATTAGAAATGGTATTTCACAAATAATGTTTCTTGTTTTTTTTATCTGAGAGAACCTGAATTGAAACTGAAAATTTGGATTCATGAATCAAATTGCTGAGTAAACCTTTGAATTGTCATAAACAATATCCTTACCTGTGAACAGCTGTTTGGTACAGACTTTGCCACAAGGACTCTTGCAACACACTGCATCTGGCGAGCAATCGTCATCGTCACTACAAGATTCTGCTCTGAATGGGCATTCTGTTAGCATCGGACATTTTGAACTAGTATCAGATTTGAATTCTGCAATGAAAGAAAATTATATTTTTATTTTTTTATATTTTATTATACATATTTATGACAACTTAATTTCTTAGTAATTTTAAGATTTTAATTGACACAGAAACTTTTCACCAAGTGTTCGAGTTCGAATCCGCTTCGTACCAGATAATTTTCCCGCAAGAATTTATCTAATTGCTGCTTTATTACATGATTCTCTCTAGGTGGCTAAAGGAGTTATTAACATAACCTACACAGACCATCAGATACACTCGAATCAACCTATCATAATGAGATCTTGTTGTAACATCAGTTAAAAATTCATTTGGGTTTGAACCTTTCACCTATTCTATTTACTTCACTCATAAAACGGTTTGGCTTATGTAGGCAGGTACTAACAACTATGCATTTCATATGTATGTTAAATTATTCTCAAATTCTATTTATTTTACGGATAAACGGTTCGATGGTATAACTTACGAAATTATCACAGAAATATTCAAAAGTGTAAGAAATATATTTGTAGACAGGCACTTCATTATTGTCAGAAAGTGAATGATGAACATTTTTAATATTTTTTGGGATAAATTGAAGGTTATTTCCTCTATCTGCACCATCCAAATTGTACGGCATGTTAACAAAAGTCAGTATTTTATGAAGAAGTAATAAAAGTTTCACGAGTGATCAAATCACCACCCTTATATAGGTCCAGGACAGGAGGTTGATTTTACGTTTACTAACCATAAACCAATTCATATGACATGTTAAAGTGACCTTTGGATATAGTTAGGTAGAGGTCCCTTTTACGTAAACTGAATTTTTTTCAAATTTTCCTGTACTATTTTTTTGTACGGTTTTTGGTTAGGAAATATCTCAATTGTACTTGGTGCATATTTAGATTTAAAAAACCCTAAAAGACTTTTGACAAACTTTCTCCCACTTGAATTGGTGTGTCACTTTCCTAACATTTTCACATGGCCCATTGACGGCATTAGGCTTAACTTGACTATATTACTACAAAAATCATAAATTTTAGGAGGTATTTTATGACCCCCTGAAAATTTTGCATGGGCTCGGGGTCTATTGGAACAGGAAGTTCATTCCACAAGAACACCGTTTTCTAAAGAAAGTTCGGGCATTTAAATCGATCAGTATATTAGAATTCTGGTCTTTTTCAATATATCGTTAATATACAATTGAAGAAAAAAATGAGTACAATACGGATTATCAAGAAACATTACTATTTGTGGCAAAGGTATCCAAAAGAACTATCAAGTAACTTGTATAGGACGATCTTTGAAGAAGCCAGAAAACAATGAACGAAAACCCACAGCAAGCCATAACATCGAAATAGTCAGGAACCATATTGATGGTCACTTAACATGATTTTAATTTTCCTTTCTTAGATCAATCCCTCTTTTTTTTAATACTACAAGGAGTCAAGGTAAACCAATTTTTGAAATTCGGTTTAGCTTTATCTGCAAGACGCTATTCGAAAGATTTGAAATTTATTGGAGTTTTCTTCCAAATTGGGACTGTTTCGTACTGTTGCATTATTTGTAAAGTAAAAATACTTATTTAAATTGGAGTATATTTTTAGGAGAGATTGTCTTTCAAGAAAAAAAGCTTTTTTTTGCTTTCTACTTCTCAGTTTCCCACATTTTTTGTGAAATGATGGAGAAATAGAAAGCTAAAAAGATGTTTTCCTTAAATAAACTTACTGATTCAAAATCAGTTGTAGATACGGAATGTACGTGTACGCCTGTATTTACTAAATGATTTTTTTCATTTAGTCAAACTAAGCAGACTATAATAACTCGCTACTGGGAACATATTCAAATATTTGATTTTATAGAGCAGAGAAATCTAGTGTTCCTCAACATGCTTTAGAGAACGGCCATAGAATAAGTTAGGAATGCTTGAAATTGATCAGATCAGTATACGACAAAAAGTTTGTAGATGCCTTCGAAAGTTTAGAAATCGAAAAATATGGAGTTAACTTCATAACAACAGATAGAAACCGTGTTAATACTAGGTATCACAAGAGATGAAATATGATGATGCTAATCTGATTACCTTCATTTGATGACCTTCATTATCGAACGTAAGTTGGTTAGTGGTTATCATCTGCCAATATTGTTTTATAACGATGCCCTGTTCTTCACCATTCCAATTAACTCTGCCTTTGTGCAATTTTTAGTAAATGAACACATCAGTTTTCAAGCAAATCACACAATTTGTTCGAAGGTGATTGACAATGTTTCATGATGAATTTCATTAGTTCGGATTTCCGTTCTCTAATATTATATAAAATGATTTGAAATCCCCGAAAGAACAAACACAAATAAAAATTAAAAAGAATAGCCGTAAAAAATGAAACAATTAAACAAAAAATTAAAATTAAAATGAAAAATTAAGTGATTCCAAGCCAACTTACTTCACAACGTTTCTATTGCTAGTATCCACAATCGTCTTCGGGTGATGTCTGGACTAATTTCTCCGAGAGATGCCTATTCATGGGTCAATAAATAGAGTACTTTCACTAATCACCTCTTTCCGCTTCACCGGTTTAGCGAAAAATGAGCGTTTGGCGGAAGTTGGCCATTTTTCGTTTGATTATGGATTTCCATATGTTGCGTATCTCTACGCTAGCTTGGCTAGCAACGTATGGAACTCATAATCAAGCGAAAAATGGCCAACTCCAGCCAAACGCTCATAAGTGAAAGTGATAAGTGAAAGTACTAGAATGACCCATAAATAAAAGTCATCTCTCGGAGGAATTAGTCTAGTCACCACCCGAAGACGACTGTGGATACTAACAATCGAAACGTCGTGAAGTAACTTGGCTTGAAATCTCTTAAATTTCAATTTTAATTTAAATTTTTCGTTCTATTTTTTGCTGCTATTCTTTAAAATTTTCATTTGTATTGGTTCTTTCGGGGATTTCAAATCATTTTATATAATATTGGACAATGGGAGCCCAAAGTAATGAAAAACAAATCACACAAGTCAATTCACAACGTTACAATTTGTTATTTGATTTCGTTTTTGGCCAACTGCTGTCCAGAAAAACGTGGACAATTAAACATGTAACATACTTTAAGATAAAAAAATGTATTCAACAGGGTGGAGGACAATCATGTTTTGTCGCTCCTTTTGTTTTGAATTTGAAATATTGAGAAACTGTGTCTTCAATTTTGTAAAAATAATTCAAAAACACAGATAATCGAAAAGTTATTAGGAATAACAAATAATTTCATATAGAATGCGAAATCAAACTAATATACATAGTGGTTCATTTGAAAAATGCAACACCATGTGCATCTGAAGGTACCCCAACTATTTTCAAAACGTGGTCTTTCTGGTCTTTTATATAAAACTATTTAACATTCATCATATTCTAGTCCAACGGTCAGCAACAGGCGGACCGCGGTCCGCAAACGGACCTTGGACCGGCAAATATTGTAATGTGTTGTATACCAAGTATAAATTGATTCGTAAATAAGATATACTATACCTTCATTGATTGAAATAATATTTTTGAACTAAAGAGTTACAAGAAAATGGAAAATTAATAAGTGATCTGATACAAAGCGTGTCTGTATTTGGTCGCAAGCTGGATATCTTTAAAAAGATATTGCAATACAAGAATTTATTCATTTTCCGACAGTTCTTGAATATGAGAAGAACTCTGAAGAAAACATTGTAGTGTTTGTAAAATTTCTGGCCGAGCTTAGGTACGAATTTGCTACAAGATTTCAAGTGTTTGCAGAGATGGGCAAGCTATCTCCGTTTCTTAAATCGCCATTTGAAATTGAATTAACGGCAGAATGGACAGATGTGGCTGCCAAGTCATTTAATCTGTCAAAGCCATCACTTCAAATAGAGATAATTGATTTACAAATTTATAAACGATATCCACTGAACAATTTTGGACCAAGAATGTCCCAGAAAAATATGAAAATTGCAAGAAACACTTTCTCAAAGATGAATTTTTTGAAAAAAAAATCGTTCGAGATTAATGGACGCCCACCTAGAAGACACACTTCGAATTAGTTGTTCCTGTCTAGAACCAAACTATAAAAAACTGGCTCAAGACCGTCGGTGTAATTTCTCACATTAATTTTAGGCCTTGCGTTTTATAATTCAAAATTTGATTTTAAACCAAAATAATACATAGATAGCACTTAATTATCATCAGTTATTTTTTTCCGGACCTTGTTAAAATTTTCCCACAGCATCTGGACCCCACCTAAAACTATTTGCCGACCCCTGTTCTAGTCTATGCATAGGAATCTCATGAACGATAAGAGACAGAGTGGGTTATATTGTGGTTTTCTGTTTTTGCGTATTATTGAATGATGGCAAAAAAGCAACTCTAGCTAATTTGAAGTTCTATTTTTGCTGTATCTTCTTTACTTGAAGAAATATTGAGAATCTGTTCACACAAATTTGGAATTTGACTTTGATGTCGTTGGGGACCGTTTTTTACCAACGATAAGACAAACTATAGCAGCTCCTATAGCAGGTCAAAACAGCCGCTGTCTGGTGTTGGATAAAAAATAAGAATTGTTTCCATTCGAAATTAATCCCGGAAATATAAAAAAATTCACGACATTATTGAACATTACCGATCAAAAAATTGCTACAAAAAATACAGGCTCGCTTTAAAATTCAAAGTTGAAGGTACCCCAAGTTGGACGAAACCCTGAAAAAAAATTATGTTAGAACAATGGAAGTTTCTCCAATGGCAAAGAATAAAAAGATTCTCTACATAAAAGAAGATATGGCAAAAAATAGGATTTCGAAATTTTTGGTTTTTCCGTGTATCTCCGGAACCAAAAAAGCTAGAGTCAACTTTTTGGTATCAATAATTAAATTTAAAAATAAACAACTTTGCCACAAATTAAGTGACTCTCTATCTCTCACCCTTTACGTGAACCCCAGGCATAGACTCGAATTTGGGTAGCCCTGCATTACCGATATATCGCGCTATTGTAGATATATACCCAGTACATATTCTA